GACCGAACGGCACGAGGCGAAAGGCCCAGTCTCAGCCCCGAGGCGGCTGCTGCAAGCTCGTCCCTACAGACAGCCGTGCGCAGACACCGGCCTGCCCTCCGCCGCTGGACCAGCAAACCGAGCCATGTCCAAGGCGCTCTGTCCACCTGGGAAACCGGCTCAGCTCCCAGCACAGCTGACCGTTTCCAAAGATCTGCGGGCTTTGGGGGTTTTCTTGTCTTGTTTGGTTTTGTTTTTTTTAAACAAGGTGCAGAGTTAATTCCCCAGGCAGCCCTCGCTCAGCCTGGAACGCATCTGACCCACCTCACCCACATCTGTGTCCCCTTGCTACCCGTGGTTCCCTCTGCGCAGGAGGGGAGCGTGCTGCCGGCAGCTCCGCAGCGCTCCTCGGCCGCGACCCCCGGGGCGCAGCCCTGCTGCCCACCAGCACTCACCCCCTTTCCTCCAGATTTCTGGTCAAACGGGACCATCGTTATCCGCTTCGACTCCCGCTGGTACGTGCAGTAATGCTTCACCCAGGAAGTCCCAAAGTGACCTGCAAAGCAGACGTGGTGTTTACTCCCAGACCAAGCGCAGTTTCAGTGCCTTCCCATTAATAACCTGCACGTTTAACGATGGTTTAACGTGACACATTTCTGTGCCAACGTTCTTGCTGGACTTCACAAGTGGATAAGCATTATTACCCCCTTCTGTTCAGAGAAAACAGACTTTTACCAGGCACTGGCAGTGATACTCTCTCCCAGGGAGAACTCGGCTCCCACATTCCCACCTTAACATCCCACCCATCTCCCTTTTTCACGGATTTTATCCCCTGCTGCGTTAGCCTTCGTGCCCCACACCCTCGTAACCACCTTCCCCCGGGGCCCACTCGCTGCATTGCCCTGGCAGGCAGCTCCACCGTCCCGACACCTACGTTTCTCCTGCACGTAGAGATACCCCTCCATCGTGTAAGGGCTGATGTTTTTGTGCTCGTGAGGATTCTCCTTCATCTTCTTCATCAAAGATTCAACCTCTGACCGCGTTCCTTCAAAACGATTTCTTGTCTGCAAATTAAAACAGCAATGCCTTCTCCAGCGCCTGGACCCAACGCGGCCTCTCCTGCCATGAGAGGCACCGCGCAGAGGGGAGGGACCCCCGAGCTGGGTCACCACAGCCCACCTGGGAAACGGGACAGGGGAGCCCACGGCCAGGCACCGGCCAGGCGTTCTTCCTGGGCCTGGATTTAAGCTAAAGCACTACAACAGTTGGCAAGTTATTCATATTCTGAGTTTTGTGAAAAAGCTGTTTCAAAAGAATGAAACAAGTCTGAATCCTTGGTAGAAAAAGAGTTGTTTTATAACACGGGAGGACAGCAGAGCTGCAGCGCCGACACGCCAAGGGCCTGCACGCGGGGCCGGCTGCGCCCCGGCCGCGGCTCGCCAGCCAGGGCTGCGCTCCACCGCCCCGACACCGGCACGGCAGAAAGGGCTGCTCCTCCCGGGACGAACAGCGCTTTGAAACCTCTCCACGCTGGTTTGAGCCACTCCCCAAGATCAGAGGGCACACAACGACGCCTGCCCGCCGGCTGGCTCCCGGGGACGCAGAGCCTCTGCGTTCGGCGTGCCGTGGGGAATGAGCTGCCACGCAGGCTGCGCAGACGATGGAGCGCCGCTTACAAAAAATAATTTGCTTTTAATGACACAGTCAAAGCCTTTGCTCAACGGCACACAACAAAACGAGAACAAAACCTTTATTAAAATATATCCAAAAGTGTTCTTTTGCTCTGCAGGACAGTCACGGCGATGGGCACGTGGCACAGTGGCACGGGCACACTTACGTTCTGGATGCTGATTGTCAGCTCTGTCTTGAAGTCACTGAAGTCCTTCGCAAGCTCGTAGCCGTGGTGGTAGAAGGTGAAAAGCCCCTGCAGAAAGGCCAGCAGCTGCGTTGGGGTAAAACGAATCGAGACGGTCAGTAGAGACCCACGGCCGCTGCCAGAGCAACCGCTGCCGAGGGGGAGGGGCCCCC